GCATCCCTTGCAGGTTGATGTGTTTCCTGAAGACAGCATATACTTGGCCTGTATTTTCTTATCCATTCAGCCAGCGTATGTCTCTTGAGTGGAGAGTTTAGCCATTCACATTATTGAGAGAACTGAGTAGGTAAGGTAGATTACTGATCATTCTGTTGGGTTGGATGTTGTTGTTGCTATGATTTCTGTCTTGAGGCCATTGTAATATCTGGCCTTTATATCTTTGGTTTTGTTGTTTTATATTCGTGGGTTATTATTATGATGTTCGTGCATAACGCTGTTTTAAGATTCTTGTAGGGCTGTGTCGTCTGGTGAATTCTCTGAGCCTTTGCTTGTCTGAGAATGTTTTTAATTTCTCCTTCATATACGAAGGCTTAGTTTGCAGGGAATAAGTATTCTAGGGCTGGGCATTGTTTTGTTTCAAAAGAGTGAGAATGGGGCCCCAGTCTCTCCTTGCTTGTAAAGTTCATTAGAGAAGTCTGATGTTATCGAATTGGCTTTCCTTGTATGTTACTTGCTTCTTTTGTCTTACAGCTCTGAGAAGGCCTCTTTAGTTGATACTTTGGTAGTCTGATGACTGCATGCGGACGTCTTCCTGTTTGCGTTGAACTCCCAGGGTCCTCTGAATGCTCTTGAACTTGTATATCAAGATTTTGAGCAAGGTCTGGGAATTTTCCTCTATTATATCTTCAAAAGCTTGTCCAACCCTTGAGTGTTGTCTTCTTCCCCTTCCTGTCACCCTTATGACCCTCACATTAGGTTTCTTCACATAATCCCACAGCTCTTGTAGGCTTTGCTCTTTTCTCTTGTTTCTCTGCTCTATTTCTGTGACTGATTTATTTAATTGGAGGGTGTTATCTTCAAGCTCTGAGATTCTTTCTTCTGCTTCATCTACCCTGTTCTGTTGAGACTGTTCCACTGTATTTTGTAGTTCCTTGAAGTGATTCTTCATTTCCAGGAGTTCGGCGTTACACTTTCTTCAATGTGTCTATTTCTTTTCTCATATCCTGGAGACTTTTTTGGTTCTTGGTGTTGTTGTTGAGTTGTTGTTGCAGCTGGGTGAGTGTTCTTATTTCCACATACGAAATTCCTCTTCTCATATTGTTGCCTGATTTTGGTCGAGGTCCGTTTCTAGGGGCTGCGTCTCCTTTGGGGTGTGTTTTCGTTTGGTTCTTCATATTTCCTGAGTTCTTTCGCTGATTTTCCCATGTCGATCAGTTGTTGTTTCTTTCCTTTAGGTTATTGTTTGGGTATTGCAACACCTTGTTAGTTTCTGAGGCGTTAGGTGGTGCCTGTGGGTGAAATTTGACGCACTCCCTGTATATTGAGTCCAGTGGTGCCGTGGAAAGGCTGTGCAAGATGCCGTCCCTGTCAGTAGGTGGTGTTTGCTTGGAGGAACAGGCTATGGTGTTGCTTTTGAGTCCTGTTATCAGCTATCATTCTGGGGGGAGCTGGTTGGGTAGCCTGCCCTCAGGCCGTTAGCTATGTGGGTCTATTATCTGTTCTGCTGTTCAAGTGTCGTGTGAATGGTCTCCCGCTCATGTGAAAGTCGGGTGTGGTGGGTGGGCTGTCTGAGAGCCCGCAGTCTGCAGCAGGCCTCACTTCTTTCCACCCTCCCCAACTCCGCAGCTACTCCTGGGGCCTCTGCCAGCAGGCCAGACCACAAGCGTACCAGGCCTCCCCTGACTGTGATGCCGGCGGGAGGTTCCTGCACAGGAACGGCCACCTGGGTTGGGCGCACGGCCTCCTCCTGGGAGGAGGGTTGCCCTCTAGGATTGCCGATCCGCCCTGGAGCGCACACAGACCTCAGTAGGCTGTTCACGTATAATCCTTCTGTGCCCCGGCATGCTAGCCCCTCGGTGCAGGGATCTGGTCTGCAGGTGCCGACTCTGGGTTCCCAGAGTTCAACTATAGTTCCCACCAGGGAGAGGATTTCGGTCCTAATTCACCCACGGGAGCCAAGCTGGGTTATGTCTCTCAGCCTCTGAGTCGGCACCGTTTTCCTGGGAACACGGTGCAGCAGCCCTGGGAGGGCGGGCGGGTCCAAACGAGAAGGTCCCGTTCCCTGGAGGTGCCTCCGCTGGTGGCTGTATTGTCTCTCTGGCAGCCGCGGGTAGGTGTCGGTAGGGTCGCAGAGGGGAGGAGGAATATGGCGCCTGCGCGCTGCTCGGGTCTGTGCACACGGAGTGCCCGGGAGGAAGTTGGAACCTGGTGCCACGTCTGGTACAGGCTCACCGTTGGCAGGCGCGGCAGTCTCGGCTGGTGTCCGCAGGTCTCTCCACCGCTGGGGAGCCCACCAGCAGTCCCGAATGCAGGGAGGGGAAACAGCAGATCCACCTACCTTGCGGCTGGTCTCCGGCTGCTGCCGTGGGTCTCAGCCTCCGTTTTCTCCGCAGCCTCCCTCGCGTGGAGTCTCCCGGGTCTCAGGTACCCTCCTTCCGCCCTTGTCCGCTGTATGCTCGTCTTCTTGCTTCTTTCCTCTAGTTTCTGCTAGAATCTGTCTTTTTGCAGAGACCCTCTGTCTGGCGGTGTTATTCGTCCGCCATCTTGCTCCGCCCTCTCAAATGTGCATTTTAGAAAATATATTGGCAGTTGTACAAGAATGATTTGGAAAGACCGAAGGCAGGTAACCTCCCCGAGGTGAATGACAGTCTCAATGATAGGTTTTCCAAAACTAGTGCAGTGGCTTTTAGAGAAAAAGGAAAGATTGAATTCAGGAGACATTTTAGGGTTAAGATCAACAGAATAGATGACCAAATGTAACAGATTATATATGAGAAAGAACAGAGCAGAAAGAAGAATTGCTCGTGGTGGTGATTTTTAGGGAAGGCGTGGGGGTCCTAGGTGGATGGAAGTGGATAGTAAGGGGTAAGCAATGTCCATAAGAGAATCTCACCTAGCAAGGAGCTCATATCTGCACCATAGCTTCTGGCTACTACTTGGTACAAAAATGACAAGCGTCATGTCCCTGTACACTTCCTGACAGACTTGGGAGACTCTGAAAACTTCATAAATATAACCTGATTCTGGAGATTAGATGTCCATATAGTCAAACCCATTCCCATGATTCCTACTGTGGAGCATCCATTTATCTTCAAACTGGAAAAGCACAAATCAATTGCCCCAGAATTCCTGGGTGACATCATTTTCTTTCCAGGCATGGAGATGCTATCAATCAAAACCAATGTCATCTTAGTCTGAAAAGTACTCCAAAACTCCAAAAACCTTTGTGTCTGTTATAAAGAGTTTCCCCCTAATTTCTCCATCTTGATGGACCACTGAAGACAAAAGTCCAAATGCAGTCACTATCCATGAATAAAACAACTGGGGGAATTTCTTACAGCAGAACTCCGCACACACCCGCCTGAACACTCCATGCCATGCTTCTTCCTGCTTCTGCATGGCAGAATCCCCCAGGGACATTCCATCTGTTTTTGCCTCCATTTGGTCCAGCCATGGATGCCTAACACCACCATCAGAGACAGGTCCCATTTGAAATAGGCTACTGAAAATGCTTGAGATAGGATTTAAGCAAACAAATAAAGATGCTATCAAATGTCCTTAAGGTATAAACATAGCTATCTGAAAAGAAACCCAGGATCTGACATTTATAGGCCACTGTTGCTACTGATAAGGCTACACCCCCTTCCCCTAGAGCCATTACCAGTACCATTGTCACCACCACTGCCAAAAATGATTCTAGAACAAAACAGAAGCAAAGCGAATTACTTCTCCCCTCCTCCCACTGTCCATTTCCTGCAAATGCTTCCCCTTGGCAGAACCTAACTGGAAGTCAGCTGGCAAAAGAGTCTGGTAAATCCAGTTTTAATATGTAGCAGAGCACAGAGGATGGCAATAGGGGTGGAAAGCAATTAGGCTAATGGTCAGCATGGTGAGGTTGATATCACCTCAAGCTGAATTCTACCACCAGCAGCACCACCGCCTCCCAAAAGGCCTGGCAAGAGAGCTCTATGGTGAAGACCACCGAAGATAGACTCCCCCAACTCCTCTCCCAGGACAAAGCTACTATCCCTCCCCCTACCCCACCGGGTAAGTGTGGACCTACCACACACATTTCATAATTTTTTTTTTTTTTTTGCCTGTGTCATTTTCCAGGCTGCAACTCTAATTGTATTTGGTTCTTTGACTCTGGTTCTGTCACTGATCCTTGCACCATCTGACTTTAACATCATCTGGCATTGGACTTGGTGCTGCAAGTTCTAGGCACTAGTGAATGCCAGAATGATGCTTAGCTCTAATTCAGTGAAGAAAATGATGAGATTCATACATTTGGAAGGAAAGTTTTCTTTCTCATAAAAGTTTGCAGGCTGTGAGTGGCCATCCCAACAGGCTGGGAAGCAGACCCCTCTGGCCAGAAGACAGAAACAGTGATTGGAGGGAGGGACAATGGGAACAGGAATTTATGCTGAGCAGGGTAGCCATACATACATATTTAAGAAGCCATCTAAAGAGTCATGAATATTTATGAAAGAAGAAATATGCACATGCACTATCAAGCTTTACCTCCCTTTATCCAGTCCATGTTCAGAAAATGGTAGCCCTCAGTGTCAAAAAGTGAAGCAGAGGACATGAAAACCCTCTCTGTACATGCTCCAAGGACTGGTAAAAGCCACTCCGTGGTTGGTGGTCTCTTAACAGGAAAGAATGCTGGTTAGCTGTAGTGCAGGAACTGCCAATAGGGAGGAGTAAGTAGATCATGAGATTGGTTTCTGTTTAGCCCTTAAGGAAAAGAGCAAGGGAGGGGTTATAACGCAGCCTATCTGACTTCCCATCCCATCATGGCTGGGAACTCGGTTTTAGGGTTTCTCTGGGGTCCCCTTGGCCAAGAGGGTGTCCACGGGGGGGATGAGGATTTTATTTGAGTTCATGTTCTCTTTAACAGATTTTTATTTCTTGTTTTTGCCAAAAGACACTTATTTAGTGCATATTATAGTATTAACACTAAACTAATAGGGAATTTTTATTCTTTTATTTTGAAGGCAATGTCTCTGCAATACCAAAATGTGTTTTTCGCTAATGTGGATGTAGATGCTTCTCCGGTAAGAATCTTAAATCCTCTGCATAGATACTTAAAATCTAAATGCAACATAATTGAGTAGCACCGTCTCAAGGATTACATAATCAATTGAAAATCAAGTCGAATTTCACATTTTTTTCTGATAAACTGTAGTAAGCTCCCTCATAATGCTCTTGTATATTTTGTAATACTTAAAAAAAACAACAACAAAAAGTTAGCAATGTGTGGCTCTCCTGAGGCAGACCTCACTAATCAATCCCGGCATTCTCTACCACTCACTCTTGGTCTCTGTCCCAGAATCCGCCTCAGCAGAGTTGCTCTAGGCATGCAATACCAGGATTTGCATCCCTGTGATAGATTATTAATTAATTTCTGAAACCTAACTCAACTCAGTGCATTACAGACATTTCAATACACCTTGCTTTCCTCTTACTATATCTTACCCTTTTTGTGTTTTTTTAAAACATCACAAGAAATTCCCAGAAATCCCTCCCTCGTGTCCCTAGCACCATCCTTCCTCATCTCACCCTCCCCAAGATAATCAGCCTCATATTCTCAATCAAAATGTGTCTTAATAACGCACACAGTGTCTCTACAAAATTATTCTTCCTAACATTTGTTAATGTATAATGAGGAAGAGTAACAGTAACAAGGGGTCCATGCATACATTAGATTGAATTTGAGCTTTAGAATGGGGAAAAATAATGTTATTTACTATTCTGCCCTTTAATTCTTTTGTGGCCTATTATCATTTAACCTCTATAAAGTTCAGTGTCTTCAGGGGTAAAACAAGGCAATAATATTAATACTTAACAGAAGATAAAATGAGATAAAATACATTAAATATATGACTTGGTCTCCAGAGCATAATAGAAATCCCATTTCTTCATTTTCTTCATGCTTCATTAAAGTGTGACATTGTAAATTGCCCTTTAAGCTGAATCACATACTATGAATACAGAATCATATACTATGAACACAGCTGGGGTCATTACGGTCTTTATCTTTTTTTATATTCACAGAGTTGTGCATCAATCAACTTTAGAACATTTTCACCACTCCAAAAAGAAACACTGTACCCTTTAGCAGTCACACCCAATTCCCTCCATCCCCCACCTCCTACCCTAGGCAACCATAAATCCACAGTCTGTCAATAGATTTGCTTATTCTGAACATTTCATTTAAAGGGAATCATAGAATAACTGGCTTCTTTCACTTAGCATAGGTTTTCAAGGTTCATCTATATTATAGAATGTATCAGTACTTTATTCCTTTTTATCTTGAATATTATTCTATTGCAGTGATAGACCACCGTTTATTTATCTATTCATCCGTTGATGGTCATTGGGTTGTTGGATCATTTGGCTATTACTGGCATAAACATTAGTGTATGAGTTTCTATGTGAACAAAAATTTTCATTTCTCTTGAGTATATATCTAAAAGCATAATTGTTGGATCATATGGTAACTCTATGTTTAACTTTTTGAGAAACTGAGAAACTGCTTTCCAAAGCAGCTGCATCATTTTACATTCTCATCGGCAATTTCTCCACACCCTTGCCAATGTGTGTTACTGTTTGGCTGTTGATCATAGATCTTTGTCTTTTAAAGTGAAATAAAATGCACACTTGTTTGATAGTAATTTGTTTATTAGTTGTTATTACTGTGGTTATGAAAATTCTAATTTTGTATGCATGTGTTGGGTGGCAGAGAAAGAGATTAATGCCAATAAAATGATAGGTATATTAGAGAGAGATGTCCAATTCTGTGGATCCTGTGGGTGGCTAATTTTCTTTTGACTCCTCTACAAAATAAACAGCAACTACCACTTAGAAGCAGTTTGGAATAGATTAAAACAATTGGGATTCTAGCATATTTTCTTGTCCTTTGGCTACAAATCTCTCACAAATAAAGATGAGCAGCAAAGAGATTATAGAGCTTAAAAGAGAGAAACATGTAAGCCTTATTTAAAATGCTAGACCAGTGTATCATCCCGTGTCTCAAGGTTGAGTTATAAAGATTTATTTACTCTTTCCTACTTTTGCAATAGGCTCTTTCCATATTGGGTTCCACTGGGGCCCCTTTGCAATATTTCACAAGGTACTTTAAATACAGCTTATTTAGCCATTAAGCAACCGTTCTGTTGTGGGCTCCATCTCTCACCTATCTCCTGGAGCTGTGGGATGAAAAGGCCCAGGAATGCTGGAATAGCCATTTTCTATTGTGACTTTCCTGGAGGCTTTGAGAATTCGTTAGAAAAGTTCTCATCAGGAGAATCTGTAAAGTGTCAAGCATCCCTGGACTTTCAAGATATACCTTCTGAGCAGTTACCAAGTAACAGGCTTGGTACAGAGAGAGGACACCAAAACTGTGACTTCATGCCATTTATTTTCTTTCCCAGGATTTGGCTGAAAGTTGTCACATCAGAGCAATACCCACATTTCAGATGTTCAAAAAAAAAGAGAAGGTATGTTGTCATAGTAACCAGCTGGGTTGAATTAGATGATTGAACCATCAGAGTCCCCCAAAAGGCCTGGGTTATCATGAGTGGATGAAACAACTGCATTTATTTTTAATACTTAGCAATATAAATTTTAGTTTCTGAATGTTATATACTAGCAAGGGGTAGAAAAAATGCATAACTTATAATAAATGTCCCCACTCAGACCATCTGAGGTGTCCAAATCCATAAGAATTATCCCACTATTACCTCTACCCTGGCGCAGAACCATCAAAAATCTTCCAGAAAAGGACATGATGAAATTCTCACACAAATGTATATGAGTTATTAACAACAGTTGAGGAAATGTGAATCAAAAACTATCCAAAACAAGGCAATACAGCCCAGTGCTTGTGCACACAGGTTTTGAATTCAGATTCTCATGGTTCAAATACCACGTCTACCACTTTCTCGCTGTGGACCTTGAGCAGTTTACTTAATCTCTTTATATCTTAGTTTTCCTATTTATAAAAACATGGATCATGATAAATTTTTCCCTCATAGGGTTGTTGTGAAAATGAAATGAATTAACATGACAAAAATGTTTAGACCCATCCCAACAGGAAGTGTTCAGCATTTTATGTTAGTGATATTAAAGATATTGATGGGATAAAATATCTAAAATACTCAGCAAGTGATGAAACTAGTACTTTCATATATGGCCGGGGGCACTGACAACTGTGCATATCTTATGAAAGCTGATTTTGCAACACACTTAGGAGACACAAGATGCTCATTTTCTTTAACACAATCACCCCACTCCTGGGAGCTTTTGCCACAGAAATATCTGAAGGAAAAATAAACAGTCAAGTGTATCATAACTGTAGCATTATTTCTAATTTTTAAAATGGAAGCAATCTAAATGTCTCCTTTTTTAGTAGAATGGCTAAGAGAATTGTGATACGTGTACTATATGAAATAGTGTGCAAGTACAAAATGTTATGAAGAATATATGTAAAGTAAAAAAAAAATCCATGCTTAAGCTTTGTAAAGATTATGTCTGTAATGTGAAGAATGAAAGCATTTGATATGCCAGCAGTAGAATTTTAGTTTCAGCTTCTATTTGTATGTATTTGCTGTAATGTAATTGGTGTAATAGATTTAAATTATTTTTCAATAAAACACTACATATTCCCTCCTCTGGGCTTTTACTTGAAAATTAAAGCTATTTAACATATGTACCCTCAATTCACCCTACCTACTTGTCAAATTATTTATGTATTATCTTTTATTATTATATCTTCTCCTTCTCTCCCATCTCAGAAATGAGTAGGCCATCTCCTTTCGAAATCAATCCCATTCATGTACCTTGATTGCATTCCTTCCCTTCTGCTCCAAACCTCCATCTATCATCTTCTTTCAAACTTCGAGTTTGGACACTTTTTTTGCCACCTAGCATCCTTTCTACATTCTCTATTAACAGTTCTCTCATTTTCCTCTGAAGAATCATGCCCTTTTCCCTTCTTAGCCCATGTGCTTCCTCGGGGCTCCATCTCCACTCTCAGATGAATCAATGAACTCCATCCCCATCAGCAATGGGACATTGACTCAAGCCAAGCCCGTCCAAGCCAAACCAGAGCTAATTGCAGGACTTTGCTTAAGCAGCTAGGTAAAAGCCTATTCTTTTGATATCACTGGGTTTGAATTTGTGAAGATAAAGGGCTGAAACTACTACAGCTAATTTGTCACCATATGGAAGCTGAAACGAATCCACTATACAGAGGAAAGCAGAATCAAGCCAAGAGGTATTAATGGCATTGATTGAACCCCGAATCTATCCATGCCTGAAGCTTGAGCTATCCCCATATTTTTTTTTATTTCAGCATATTATGGGGGTACAGATTTTAAGGTTTCAATAAATGCCCATTTCCCTCCCTCCCCCCAAAAGTCTGAGTCTCCATCATGACCATCCCCCAGATGGTGCACATCTCACTCATTATGTATGTATATACCCGCCCCCCTCCCCCCTCCCACCTGCCCAATACCCTATTACTGTAGCACCTATGTGTCCACTTAGGTGCTACTCAGTTAATACCAGTTTGCTGGAGAATACCATATGTTATTGAGTTATGTAAACTTTGGGTTGGTTTTTCTGTCACTTGGGACCAAAACATCTCTAATAAACATATCTGAATTTCTCCCAGTCTGTTCTCCTTCATTTTGTGGTCTAATTCTTGAAAGAGTAGAAGATTTTACTGTTTCTGATTCTTATATTCCACTCATTCCCTCATCTATATATCTACTCTCTTGACAGTCACAAAGGATCTCCCTGCACCTAATTTAAATCAATCCTTGTATTCTTTGGTTACACAGAAGCACCATAACTAGTCAGCGTCCATATTCTGGAAACTTCTTCTTTTGGCTTCTATCCCTGAAACCTCTCCAAGCTATCCTCTGGCTTCTCTGGCTTCTGCTGCATTCAAGTATAAGTGTTCCCCAAGGTTCTACCCTTTTCCTAGTCTACCTTCTCCACTTCAACAATAGCATCCCTACTTTCAGTTTCACCTGTAAATACCTTTTACTTAGACAATTGCAACAGTCCTTCCCACTCCCAAGTTAGTGCTATAGCTCTGTTCTCTTCTCCAAATAGATCCACCACACACAGCTCCATGTGTGTCATTCCCTTATTTAAAATTTGATGCCCCTCCCCCAGCATTGCCTAGGAATCAAGGCTAAACCCTTGTATTCAAGGCTGGCATTTCAAGTTTCTCCATAATTTTGACCCAATCCACTGTTCCAAGCCCTTTTCTGTTTAACCCAGATCTTAACTTCATGTCTCTTCTCATACTATTCCCAGCATCTGGAGGAGTTCATGTCTGATTTGAAAGCCCCGTGCCTAGAAAAATCCCAGGTGGATATAATACACTCATCATGAGTGTGATGAGTGAGTGAGTGAGCAAATGAATGAATGCATGGATGCTTCTCTCTCCTCCTGCATCCCACTGCCAGCTCTCCCTCTTCTCCTGATTCTGTCCTGGTGCCAACCTGACTCAGGGCAAATTTCTCTCCCACTTTATATGGTTTTCTGGTTTCATTCCTTTTGCAGATGCTACTATTTGCTGGCTGTTGCCACTCAACAGTTTTGACTCCATTTTATGATGATATAACACTCTGAGTTCCCAACTGTCGAGGCTTTTGAGCAAGTCCAAGCTATGCTTTTGAGGAAAGGCTTGGCACTGCTTGGGCTCAGTTCTATATGGAGATGGTAGTTTCCCAGTTAAGCAGGGGTAGAGGAACTCTTATAAACAATTGTATCTTAACTGGTGTCTGAAGGGTACGAATCTCCTCTGAATTGATGGAACAAAATGCTTGCATTCGAAAGATCACTAAGGATCTCAAATCTAAATTTTCTACTAGGTGGCTATTGGAAAATAAAACTATCTGTCCATTAAGCTAATCTATCCTGCCATATTCTAATTCCAGAGTGAGCCAACAAGCCTCTGATTATAATGTGGATACACGGGTCCCAAGAAGTTTTCTTGGGAATTGAATTTCTTATCGAATATTGCTAACAGCATCCTGGTTATGGAGTTTAAAAAAAAAAAAACAAACTTGAGACTATTTAGGTCACATTGTACAAATGAGTCTACTTGTAAACTTTGTTTATACATGTAATCATATCTCCTGACAGATTCATACCTCGATCAATTTAGAAAATTTGAAAATGTCCAGAAAAGTTTGTAATGCGGGCTGTATTTGATAAAGAATATCAATCTGCTATGCAAAAGACAAGAGCCAATAAAAGGAGGAGGACATTCTACAGAGATTGTGTTGCAAATCTTTTCCTCTTGTGACTCGGCCCCTGCATTTGGTTTCTGAGCAACACTGCAGAGGTCTGTAGGGTCCCCACTTCTGCCATTGCCTCCAGAGCTATAATTCAGCCACTAACCTCTGAAACCCTCCCCCGCCCCCCGGGTTCTACCTCACAGCAGTCTGCAAGAAAAGTCACTGGAACCAGAGGAGGTTTGGGATGGCCAGGCAAAAAGATTTGTTCATGTCAGTTTCCTTCCTTTTTCAACAGAACTGACTAGGAAGGCTTCCATTAGCATGCGCTGTTTTTCTGGGGGTCAAGAAAAATCAAATTCACTTCTTTGAATTTGATAACTATGCTCCTCTTTTTTATCTGGGATGGCACAAATGAAAATTGACTTATTAAAGCAATTCAGTGCTATATATCTATTATTATTATTGAAAAAGTAAAAGCCTGGAGTCCAGTTTCTATTAAGGATTGTTATAAGAAATGTCTTCACATTTCTGGTAAAGCATCTGGCAAAGAGCCACTTGTCCACTCTGCCCTTTGAAATTCACATTGTATAAAAAGCCTTATGATAATTCCTCCCAGAACACAGAGTTAGGAGAGTTACTTGCCTCCCTTAAAAAGATGGTTTGCTCCTTACAGAAGCATTAGGGAATCCCTTGGGTTTCTCTTTGTGCCATGGCTGCCAAGACTCTCAGGATGACCTTGGTTTTGGCTGCAGTAGCCTCCCTTACCCACCGTTTGATGGCCCTCCCCAACCACCATCCCCACACTATATTATCCTTGAATGGTTTCATTATTTTATCTTGCCCCTGATTCTAGCTCATTCTAAGTATTTTCAAAGTATATAAAATATAAATAAAATAAACTTTAAAAACATAAAACAAATGAAGTCACATGTACAATGACCTAGGACCATGGTAGATGATGGGTATTCCCTGGTTGCTGGAAGATTTCATGCAGAGGTTGGATGGACATTTGGCAAGGATGCAATATAAAAAATGGTTGTAATTATGTCATGGCTTTAAGGCAAAGGAGAGCCAAACCAAATGATAGGGGACAAATAGAGTGGGCTTGTTTCTTCCTGCTATATTCCTTTGTGTTTTCATCTAGGACATCATACCATGTTCCATGAAGATTAATTGTAGTAAATAAGTTCATTCCTGTGGTGTCTTCCAGAAGGGAGTCCCCAGTCCTTGGCTGGTTTTGT